ATTACATAACGCTACGAATTGTTGTAAGGACCAACTCTCTTTTGTCATCTTGAATAGCGGTAATAAGAACCGTAATTTGATTGAGGATATCAACCAGCTGCTTAGCGTCACGTTTCCAATCAAAAAATGCCGCACATTTCATTTGGGCATGTCTTTAAATCATAATCCATTGTACGTTTGGCGTGGTCGTTACAAAGAATTGGAAGTTATCATGCCAAGCATTGTTATTATATTTACTGAAGGCGACCCTCCTCTGATATTGGGCAAAAATTAGGCAAAGTTTGTATTTTATATATATATATTTTTTTTTTTTTTGTGGGAAAATGAAAACGCATACGAACTTCCGGTTTTGACTATTAAATTTGTTTATTATTTGAAATTTGAAAATAGTAAAAAAAAATAGCCGGAATTCAAAATGACGGCCACAAAATGGCACTTTTCGTCGGCTTCTGCGGGAAAATCATTGCCCAACAACTTCAGGCCTAAGACCTCTTGTAGTGGACCGAAATCAAAAATCGTTTTCATTACTTGAAGATCGTAAAATTTTCTACTTCCTAAACCTCAGTTGAAATAAGTTTATAAAGTTCAATTTTTTGCCATATTTTTCACTTCAATTACTTAAAAAATAAATAACTTTTAATGCTAAGCTTAGGTTAAAAACGTACAAAAAACTATATACCTTGAAACAGTTTTGAGCTAAAAGAAATGGGATAGATGAATCAAGCCCGGTACTTGAAGTAGGGCTAGAAATTTCAAAACATCTTTATTTAGCGATCTGCTTGCTTGAAGATCGACGTCGGCTGGCGTCGCATCTCTAGTGAAAGACTTCAGTTCACTCTTAAACCAAATATGTAAGAGTGACTCCACTAAAGCTCCCTCTGTTTTTTAATTAGATATGTCCTAGGTTCTACCAAAAAAAAAAAATATTAAAATATATATATATATAAATATTTTTAATAATTTATTATTGTTTAATGTACACTTCACATTAAAATTCCCCTACTAATTATGCACCAACAACCTAAACTAATTTGTTGTGGTTTCTCCACAACGGAAATGTCAAAAGTCGCTTAAACGACTGTCCATGATTACAAACAAACATTCATGTTTACACATCATATATGTACAAGTATACATATGACTGTGTATGTATAATACTTCATAATTATTTTCGAAAATATTCTTGTTTTGCCTCAAATATCACACCATATTACAAGCGTTTCAATTATTTACATATGTATGTGCATGTGTGTATATGTGTGTGTGTTGGCCGGAAGATTGCTGTGCATGCCAACTTTGTTTGATTTCAACACTAATTACTGACCATTAATCACAATTCACGCGATACCTTGTATTTCACTCATTGAAAACAAAACACACACACACATACACACACACACATACACACACATACAAACACGCATGCAACCAAGCACCTCATACAACTCTATATGAAATTGGCGTGCCATTTGTACATGGCACATAAATACATAATTATTGATAAAAAAAAAAGAAATAATGTGACATTTTAGTGCCGGTGGTGGTTGTGGTGGTGGTGGTGACGCAGGGACTGGTGTGAAAATGAATTATTGCTTTGTCGCCAACGTTGGCAGCATTGCATAGCCGCGGCGTAGGTTCGATTTTGTATGTGTAGGTGTTAAAAGTGATATGGTACATAATATTATTAATTTTTTTTTTGTTTTTTTTTTTATTAATATTTTTAGAGGGTAATTTGAGTGCTCGAATTGTTATTGGAGTTACATATGCATATATTCTATGCTGAGCTGTAACTAAAGGAGAAATAAAAACTCGTAAAAATTTTTTTGTCGAACAATGAATTTTCTTCTTGTATTTCAGCGCTGAAATTTATTTTTGTTGTTTTCCATTGTTTTATAAGCCTAAAGTCACTTCTTAATTGAAATCGCAATAATTTTATTATTAATGCTTTTAAGGTATTATAACAGTTATTTAAAACTTAATTGTGTTTGACAAAAAATGTTATATTAGGTCAAGTAACAAGTCATGCATTATTTTTGCATTAAATTGAAGGCCCCATAAAAAATTATACGATTTATTGTCATTTTGAGGATAATGTCATTACGTCTCTCTCATAGAAATCCTTAAGAAATTTATTAGTAAAAAAATTGGGAAAATCGATTTTAACAGACTTCTGTTGAGTTTGATTCTTCACCGGCGGAATCATTCGCCATAAACAGGAACAAGTGGTAATTACTTTGTGTGGGATCCCAACTTAAGATGGACGCACCAGAACCTCCCAACCAAGCTGTCAGAGCTGCTGTCAAGTCACTATCCATGAGGGTGGTCTGACGTAGTCCTTCTGAAAAACATTTTTCCTCCTGTTGGCCAAAGCTGGATGTTTTTGAGCTATTGCTTCCTTCTAATGGATCGATTGCAGACAATGCGGGTCTTAATTAAAAGCTGATCATGGTGGATGATTTCTTGTGAATCCCACTAAACTTACAACAAAACCTCTCCGTCCGTCAACCCTGGCTGGCTTTGTATATTGTTTGTGTGGGCTGATTGTCCTTCGACCATGTTAGCCCTACCAACTTTTATTTGATTTTCAAACAAAGTTTTTCCGCAAAATTTAGATTTTCGCGTAGCGCCACAAAAAAAGTCGAATGATGTCAAATCGCACGATTCGCACGTGTCTTTGTTGAAACCATATGATGTCCAAGTTATGTTCTTCGAAAGCGAGTCAAATAAAATCGGTTATCATACGACCTTAACACTCTATCGTTTCCAAAGAAATAAGGACCCATTACACCTCCAGACCAAAGAGCTCAACAGACAATAGGTTTTTTCTTCAGTGCAATGGTCTCTCGTCAATTATTTGAGGATTTTCGGACCCCCAAAAGTGACAATTTGGATTATTTACGTATATTCAAAGTGAGAAACGGTCCTAGTTACTAAGGAAAATTTTGTTCGAAAAATAGCCACTGCTTGTTGTGCTCCACCACCTATTTATACTGACCTTTTCGGTTCTTCGGCTACACTTTCACTTACAGTAGCGATATTTGGGGTGGAATAAAATATCTGTAATTAGACTGGCCTCTTCTTCAAATTTCCTTAAGATTTCACCAATTGCTAGAGCAGTTAGACAGTTATGTGCACCATAAACTCCTCTCAAAGCACGAAACCTGACCACGTTTGTATCACCATTTCATTTTTCTTGGCAGGATTTAACAATTTTAACGGGTTTTGCGGTTGTTAAGCGATCCGTTCGATTGACAAATGTCGAAATATAGCGCTGTACTTGTGAAACCATGAAATGGATAACCCTATATGATGGCGCTTTCTGTAGCCCAATAAAGTATAAATAATATTGAAATTTTAAGCAAATTTTACTAAAAAATTGTACTCTACATATTTTTTAATTTCTCATAAAAATCATTGATACGGTGTTATATAGAAAAATGTAAATTTCCGAGCAGGATAATATTAAGAATATTTTAAAAGATATTTTTCACACTAAAAGGATAACAACTTTATTTAATTATTTTTTTTATTGTATATTTATTATTTATGGAAATTCAAATGCATATTTTTATTATTTAAAACAGTAAAATATTTTAAATAATAATAAAATTAATATAAAACAATTAAAATATTAGTTTTCCATTTGTATTTTAATAGTTTTAAAGCAAATTTAAAAAAAAAATTTCTCAAGTACCTTAAAGTACTGGAAATTTTATTTTCTAAAGAAGTATTATTTACCAGAAAAAGTTAATAATTTTTTTGAAAATATTTACATTTTTATTATTCAACATTTAAGCTGTTCATCCCGGGCTTATACTTATACACACATTCGTATTTGTGTGTGTGTGTGTGTGTGTGTGTGCTTGCATTGGCGAAATTTGCCATAAATATTTACATTAAGTAAGATAAATTATTTATGCAATAAATGTTGACGTTAATTGCACAATTTCAATCAATTAATGATGTTAATTACATTGTATATAAATAAACAAAATTTCCCAGCGAAGCCAAAAAAAAACAACAAAAACAGGAAGTTATACAGAAATGCGAACGCATACGTGTATGTGGCATTTTTCAATAAATGAATGAGCATTAAGCGTTACTTATTGGATTAATTTATTGCACATATATTACAAACACACACATACATACTTATGTGACCCAACTGTTATTAACGCCACTAAGGGCATTGCCCATATTAACTTCGCACAATTTCTACTCATTAATAACCACATGCTTACAATAATCCAGCAATATTGAGTGCTTCTGCAGCTACTTGAATATACGGTTTTGTAGGTCTAAGCGGCCAAAAAATATCTGAAACTAAGAGCAAGCCAAAGGGAGAAGACACCAGCCAAAGGGAGAAGACACCAGATAAAAAACTTTACTGATGATTTTCGTACCCTCGGAAGAGTAATTATTGATTAGGAACATTATCTCTTGACAGCCGAAAAGCTAAACGTCCAAATAGTGAAGTTCGACTGGAAAAAAAAGAAAGTTAAAACCGATTAATTCGATAAGTTGGTCAGATTATACAAATTATAAGGCTTTTTGCCAAAAATACAAAGCCTAATGTAAGCGATTTCCAAACCTCAAAGGTATTTATATCGAGTTACTAGATTCCATAAGGTGTAACTGCAAAGCAATGACTAAATGCTGGTGCCGGCATTAAATCAGCAAATTTTTAGGACTTGGTTTAAGGACTATCCCATCTAAATAAAAACGAAAATTTGTTGAATATAATAATTCTCTACAAAAGTATATCCAAGTCTGAATTTTCCATTGGCGTGGAATGGCGAAATATTTACTCTTCAATTTTGCTATGCTTCCGAGTGACCCCAAAACAGCCAAGTAGCGCTTTTTATGCCATAAATTAAATATTTTATTTTAGATAAAAAAAATTACAAAATTTTTCACTATTTACGTGAACAAAAATTTCAAGTTTAAAAATATTTCACACTTAACCGGGAAATATGAAAAAACTCTCTATATATTTTTAATATATATGAAGGGTGGCTGAATTTTTCGCGAGCTAAGGAAGTTAGAGATGGCACATCATATTATTAGCGATAATACTAATTGCCGACGCGTTGTTAGTATAAATAACACCTTTCATTCCCGGAACAAGCAGCAAAATTACGTCAATTGAAACTGGAAAATCACCGCGCTGTGATTAGACTCCTTGTAAAAAAGGAAGTACACCGAAAGAATGTTTCAAAGAGATGTCATCGGTTCTTCAGGACTCTGGCCCTTTATATATACGATGGCGAAAAAATGGGCTCAGCTATTTCAAGAAGTCAAGAAGGAAAAGAGATCTGTGAAAATGATCTACGCCCGAAACGCTCAGTAAAAAAAAAGTAATCGAAGAATAAAATTGTGGCAGATAGCAGAAGGATTACAGATTAGCAAAGAATTAGCTGGAGAGGTTTTGCATGAGAATTTGAATATGAAAAAATTAGTGCGCGTTGAGTACTGCGTATGCTCGCGCCGCTCGACAAGCAGCGACGCATGGAGCGTTGTAAAGGTTTGTTTGAAGGTGGGCCAAGCTGACTTGGATAGCGGTGGATAAAAATATGGGAAAGGGCGCCAAAATAATTCAAAGTGGAAAACTCGACGTCAAAGGTTATGGATACCAATTTCTGGAATAACAAAGGGAATATTAGTAATTGATTGGGTCTGAGTTTGGCTGATAAAAAACAACATATAAATTCAGAAACATTTTCGGATATGAATACTGACACTGAACTACAGCAAAAGATTTGTCAGAACTAAGCTACAAGCAAGGTGAGTCATTTTATATATACGTAAAGACGTCAGTTCTGCTTACATCAGAATGCATATGTAAAACAAGACGAATATGAATCTGGTAGTGAACGAGAACGAGATAAAATATCTCTTGCCATAGCTTTAACGTCCAGTCTCCCACCTCACTGTTGACTGTCCATACCTCTCTCGACAAAAAAGGCTAAACCCTACAAGTCACTAGTCATTCCTATACTAATTTATGGGGCAGATGTGTTGACCTTGACAACAGTCAAAGAGTAGACTTTGGACGTATTTGAGAGTTGGGTTTTAATGAAAGATTTATATATAGGCATATATGAATACCGTATAAGATGGAATGATGAGGTCTATAAGACATACGACGACATTGCCATAGCTCGCCGAATAAAGGAGCCGGGGCAGACCGTTCGATTGAACGAAAAAGCGCCAGTTGTGAAAGAAATTAATGCATAGCGTTTTGGTGGAAGCAAACGAAAAGGAAATCTTGCACTACGTTGGGGCGATCCGCTGGAGAAAGACCTGGATTCACTAAGTATTACCAAAAGGTGTCAAACGGCACCTTTCTTACATTTGAGTTTCAGTCCCTTTAGCTGTTCCTCGCTATAACACTATGAAAGGCCTGAGAGGTCCTTACTTTGTACAGCAACTAATTTGGTTACAGATAAAATGAGACAGGTGATTTCAGTCACATAATCACAAAAAAAAAAATAATTACAAAAAAAATGTCAAACTCTTGTGCGCTCAAAATGATATAACAGAAGTAGCCAAAACACGTGGCAAATTAAAGTACAGCCTTAACATCTGTATGTGCCACACCTGTGCACACAGGCCTCAACTACTTGTCCATTTGCGAATTTCCACAAAAATATAGACTGTTATTCATTAACTGCTGTATTTTGGTTAAGAGCACAGAAGTGGTGGCAATGTCGTGACAAACTTTCACATGAGCCCAACAATAAACCAAATGGCAAAAGAGGAGCAACAACAACTACAATGACACGTTCTTTTTTTTCATTTTTGATTTCAAATGCTGCTCTACAGCTCAACCACCCACAGAATTGGTTTGTACGAACCTGCTTTGGCATGTTATTAATGATAGTCATAATGTCGTGATGCTGTCACTGCCTGGTCCGCTTTGGCATAATGAAGCAACGGCTGCCAGCGTACACATACGTGTACTTACATTTGTATGCACATAACTAGGCTCGCATTTATTCTTCTCTATTTCACTTTTTCATTGTCACTCTAATATCAGCCTGCGGTTGGAAAACATTGTGTTATATTATGAATGGAGGTGAAGACACTTATCGTACATATACATATATATGTACGTGTGTATTAGTAACATATAGTGCAAATCAAAGTGAAAGGCAAGAGTAGCTCACTAGTTTGCTACTAGAAACTACTAGAAATCTTGTTAAGAACTCCGAGACTACCGTGCAGACTATGCTGAAAACTTTTCACTTTGTTCCTATGGTTTCCGGAAAGCTTTGTACGGAGAAAAATAACATTGGCAACGCTTTTTCTACCAGGTGTTAGACTAAATATTTTAAAAAGTATGGAAAAAAGTTTAAGTTTGAGATTAAACTAGTCCTTATTCGTCCATTTTGAATTGGTATGAGACTAGTAGAGCGCTGATTGGAATATGAAATTTGTCAACGCTTAAACTAATTCCAAGGTTAAGAAAACTGCTTCAGCTTACTGGATGCGTCCACTTCTAACTAGTTTGTTTGCTTCCAAAGTAATTATGTATGTACATATGTATATGCGAGTATACTGTATGAGTTAAAAACCCCTAAAAGCCGCTCAGCGCTGCTATCACCGTCGTCGCATCCAGTTAGCATCGATAAACGCATTCAAGAGCTTTAATTATGATTATCATGTTGTACAAGAGACGCGCACGCACACATACAAAATAAATGCAATTGTGTAAGTGCATATGTAGGTGGACGGGTGGTAGGAGTGAATGTATGAATGCCATAAGCATAATAGCTGGATTATGTTGGACAACTGCTGGCAACACATTTTGAAAGAATTTACCCACACTGATGCAAGTTGCTGACGGCAGTGTGATGGCCGACGTCAAGGCAGATGCGGCACACACATACACACACGTACTCGTATGTACATATGTAGTTTTTGCGGTATTTGAATACTTTTGAGCACGCATTTATTGAGTCATGGAGATGGATTGTTTTGGAGATGGATTGCATTGCTGCGGAAGGTTTAGTTCGTACCACAACATTTTCGACATTAACTACTGAATGTGTATGTGTGTGTGTGATACATATTGAAAACAATTAGAAAGTGTCATCTATACACCGGAATTTATGGCGTGTAGTGAGACCATTCCCTTCTTGGCTCCGAGCTTGTCTATTCAAGAACCAATATTAACACGAACAACACATAACAGATTCCTCAATGGATGCCGCTTTGAGCTAAGTGGAAACTGGAATTTGTCGAAACTTAGAACACCGCATTGGGAAATTTTTAACGAGATAACATCAATTCTTCAGGGCTCTGCTTTTTCATACGAGGTGTGAAAATTAAGTAATGAGACTGATTCCATGTTTCTAACTATTTCTACAACTCTGCAAGCCCTTTCAAAGCAGTCCCCTTGGGCAGCCGTACAACGATTCCAGCGCGTTATCCATGCTTCGTAACATTTCTGGAACGCTTCGACTGAGATATTCGCGAGTAACTTCGTCACGGCCGCCTGAATGTCCTCAATCGACTCAAAATGAGCTCCTTTGACCACCAATTTTGTTCTGGGGAGCAAAACAAAGACACATGGTGACATATCGGAAGAATAAAGCGATTTCTGTAACACGGCGATCGCTTAAAGATGTCAAATACTGGGCTACGCGCGTTGTCGTGATGAAGAATTCAGTTACGAGCGGTGTCTGGATGCATTCTGTTGACTCGTTTTCGCTATGCTTCGAGTACTTGGCGATAGTAGACTTAACTTACCATTTGCCAAGGTGGAAAAAATTCCTTTGGCAACAAATGGAGATACTTACAGTTTTTACTAAGCCGCGTCCGAACGGCTGATGGTGTTTTTTTAGGAGGAGCTTTATTTCATGTCAAAATTACACTCGGAAGCATTGACAGCCCCTGCCGTGGGACGACCGCAATCAGAAAATTTAGCTTAGTTTTTCATTTAAATTACTAGGATTTGAACCTGGGTTCTCCGAATGGCAGTAGGCAATGCTTACACTCGGCTACCGCGGCCGCGCCTTGCCATGTTCTAAGGTAAGTATATTTCGACGAAAAGCGAGCTGTTCCTCTTAGAAACAAATTTTTTAACAATTTTACATAAATTTTTTAAAATTTTTAAGCAAATTTTCTTAAAAATACTTGTTAGCATCCAATTCGCTTCTGTTTGCTGACCCCTATTTTCGATTTATTTTATACATACATATACATCACTTGTATTTTTGTTAAGCAAGAGCTATGTATACATATATAAAATAACTTCAAAACAAATCTCGTTCTTTTTTTTTTTTTTTTTGTATTTCCCAAGAAAAACTGTAGCCAGTATATTTTTATATGTGCCTAAGTGAGAGTTTTTGTATCGTCTCCGTGAGAACTGAGTTGATGTTGCTGCAGCAACAGCAGAAAATAATATCCCATGGCTATGGCGGCGATGTTTGACAGCTAGATGTTGAAAAGGTGTGCCGTGTCTACAACATGTGAACACAACTGTTAATAACCCAAGTGCAGAAAAACACAAGTCTGTTTAGAATCATGTATATATGTGGTGAAATTGCAAAGAAAAGTAGCATCTGGCTGGGGACATTCATTGTCAAGAGCAAACGATACGTGTGTTTGTGATTTGGATTTTTACATATTCTCATCATTAATAACTTTCAAATGCAGACAGCAATTGTGGGCGTCCTTCCGAATTTTAAATTAGGTAAAACGCGATGTAACGTACATCTTTATATTAAATGACGTTTTTATTTTCGTATAAAAAAGGGTTAAATTACAGTGCTCCTTTGTTAAAAACCTCTAAAGGCGCACATACATAATCAGAGAAAAAGCAAAAAGTTAGTTCAGCGGCTAAACATTAATTAAGTAGTAACGTATGCTCCTTGTAAAGTTTAGTTGGATGAGAACCAATTTATTTACTTTACCTTTTTTAAGTTTCCTAGTTCCAGTTTATAGTTTCTTTCATAGTTTTATTTATTTCATTTTATTATATTTTATTATTTTATTTGTTTTTAATTATTCTATTTTTTTAACTTATTTTATTTTATTTTAATTTGTTTAATTTTATTTTATTTTATTTATTTTTTATTTATCTTAGTTTTTTTATTTGATTTTATTTTGATTCATTTTATTTTCTTTTATTTCATTTATTTATTATTTATTTTACTTTATTTGTATATTTTATTTGGAATGATTTATTTCAACTTGTCACAAAATCCCTCAAAAATTCCTAAATTAAATTTATTAATTTAAATTTATGCTCATATTTTCTACTCATTATTTGGCGAATTCCCTAAATTCTTATCACCGTTTTTACCACCTTTACCGCTTAAAATTTGGTTTTCCGCCTTTTGACTTATTACTTGGTAGCTGCAAGCAGCTGTTTTTCGTGGTTTGGCAGGCAACATAATCTGAACCAAAACCCACATGGTTTTTTTTCTGTTCTTGTATTGGTTGCTCTAACTAAGAATTATATGCTTGAGATTTCTTCTTCTTCTCCTCCTCCTCCACCTCCTCCACACAGCTGCGCAGACAAAAAGCAGCTATAATCTCTGAAAATCGCAAATGTTTAAGTTAAAGTCTAAATATTGACGATGCGGAAATGCGACAAAGGAGGGCAAATTGGTTTGCACAGTGATTTAGTGTGTCGTTAGCCGACGCCGTGGAACTTTCTCTACGTACGCTAAGTGAGCATTAAGCAAATTAGCTATGTTAATTAGTTTTGGTTAATGAGCAGTGTAACCTGTTTGTATGTAGTCGAGAGCACAGCAAAACCACCTGGGCGTATA